TATATATATATATATATATAAATATATATGTCCATACACACAAACTTTTTTTAGTTCTATACAAAGATAAATATTGTCAAAGTCAATCATCATGATATACCTTTCCAGTTTCTTAACCCACATGCCGTGTGGCTGCAGGTTTTCGTTCCAACCAAGCAATAGCACACTAGACTCTATTTATCTCATCAACTGAGTCCAGTCTTAACATGATGACTTGATGAGATAAATGGTGTCTAGTGTGCTATTGCTTGGTTGGAAAGAAAACCTGCAGCCACACGGCATGTGGGTTAAGAAACTGGAAACCAAAATGACAAAAACTACTTTTTACCCACTAATAACAGCAAATATAGCAAAGCCGCTCTCTACCATTGGAGCAGCTCGTTTCCATTCACTGAACTATTTCAACTGATAAAATAAACTTTATTTATCAGATTCCCTGTTTATCCTGTTGTGTCCATGTGGGTTAAGAAACTGGAAACCAACATGACAAAAACTACTTTTTACCCACTGGCCTGCTATCTGGCTCATCAGAGAGGACATAGGCTGTGTCCGTACGTCTGCCGTAATCACTATATAGTGGTTAAGCATTTTTTAATGAGTTCTCAAATGTCTAGTGAATGAAAAAGTAGTGGACACAAAATTTCCCACAATGCACCTTAAAAAGTAGTTATCATCCATGGTCACTAGACGAGCAGACGATCTGGGAGATATTTTAGAACTATACACTATAACCAGAACCTTTGTCCTGAGCTGCCTGCCAGCCTGCTGGGTTCTTTGCAGCGGCGGCTGGCCATTAGAGGGTGCTAGGGCCCCACCCCACCCAATGACCCTGATTAAGACATAAAAAAAAAAAAATATATATATATATATATATATATATATATATTTCAAATTTGAAATATTTTGAAATATATTGATATATATGTTTTAGATGTACAAGATAAATATTTAATCTTTAATGACGAGTAAAGGTAATTTAATTTTTTAGCGGATTGGTGACATATTTCCGCCATAGGGTGCAAGAATGTTAAAGCACTTTTCAGAAAAGGCAAAGAATGGAAATACACATGGAAAATAATATAATATAATGTACTTTTTCTAGATGTTTCTTGATTTGCATGGTTGCTCTTAAATAAACACATTTTCAGAAAATAGTTTTTATATATTAAAAAACATATAAACCTTCTCGATTAGTAAACTGATACATATTTTTTTCAGGTGTGTGATATAATATTGGACCATGCAAAACACAGATTCGGCTTCAAAAAGCCTCAGAAGGGTCAGATTTATGTATAATCCTTGAACATTCAGTAAACCTGCCCAGGAAATTATGTTTTGTTTTTCTAAAGTGTTCCTATAATGTTTTTTTGTGGCTGGCATTCAAATATTTGGTGATATATTTGATAATACTTTTATTTTGAATTTAAATATAGCCCCCCAGAGCTCCACCTACAGCCACTGGTTCTCTGGTTTTTATGATGCTGGTTGTTTTCTAAAGAACTCTTAAACCAGAACCAGAAAGGATTCCGTTTTTTCAGGATTTTCAAGATTTTATAGAATTAACAAGATTAAATTCAATTGATTTCTTATTTGCTGAACCTTTTATTAATTCAATCCCATCGCATACCCTGAAGTATGTGATTTTACTGTGAGTAACTGTATGAACAGGTTTATTTCCTTTAAACATCCTCTTTCATTCTTTCATGACCAACAGCTCGCCGTCTTGATTTTTATCTCCTTCTAGTGCCTAAAGAGGTCATCCATGCTCAGCCTGTGTCGGATTCTCCTGCCAGGAAGCAAATTTAAATTCAAGCCCCAGCGGTTTACAGCTTCTCTGCAGCATCACATGGAGTGACCTCTGGAATGTTTTCTCCTAAGAAGATTGGCAACTGTCTCCAGTGTGACCGATTATTCCCGCTGCACAGTTCTGGACACTGGATTTGACCTAAAAAGACAATTTAACCAAGAAAATCAGACCCAAAAAGATTTGTGGATTTCTAAACTGAAATGAATCAAAGAAGCAAAGGGAGAAAAAGCATAGAAGGCTTAGGGGGATCATTAACAGAAAAGCTTCTTAATGCAAAGATTTTACCAATCTAAACTGAAAAACTGTTTGATTAACAGAGATTTATTGTATGAAAATGTCTCGGTTTATCGCAAAGCTTTATATTTTTTCCTTAGTAACTTTCCCATTGTTTTCTTCCTGCTGACACTGTATTTGCCCTCCCATCTTACCATTGGCTACCCACCTACAACAAAGGTTGCATTTCTCAGGTTATGACAGGTCTCAAAGGTCATTTTTTCCCACAGAACCGTCTCAGGTAACAAATCAAAAATTATGTAGTTTTTGGCTTTAGTGAAGAGTACTCTGATTTTCTGTATTGTCTGATGGAAAATGATCACACTCACAAACAAAACACAAGCCTT